AATCTCTTGACCTCAAGGAGTAACCTTGAGAGGCATCTCTGCTCAAGGGGAGGTTCTGCTGTGCAGCCAGCTGCTGGGCAGCAGAGCTCAATGGGCTCTGGGCTGCAGCATTATTTATGGGGTAAGATGATTGACTCCTAGTCATATATGCATACCACCTGTACCTTGGCTGGTGCACGTTCAACTAGCCCTTGGCTATTGTGCCAGATTCCACTCTGATGCAGCCATCCCGACCACTATTGATGGCTTACAGCCTTACTGAGGACTATGGTCTGAGCAGGGCTACGTGCAAAGGGTCAGGTTGGGGCGGGGGAAGGGAGCCACCCTCACACCTAGGGATTTTATCTCCATCTCTCACTTCCAAGAAAAGTGCCAAACAACAGGACATGCCTGGATGGGCACATTCTGTATCTCTCTTATCTTGTCAGTCTGTGCTGCAAAGAACGAAGGGTTGGAGAGAGTATGCAAGAGTCTGCAGGCTGGTGTTGTTTGTACTGTAGTAAAGTCACTGTCCTAAGGACGGTAGGATTTCCTGTTTTCTGGTCTCTGCTACATGAAATTTGTTTTGCATGACTCATTAATTAAAAATGCATAAATAGCACTAAGAACAGGGACTGGACTCCGTTATACCATCCCCACTCCCTCCAACTATACACACAAGTTATTCATGTTACCCCTAGAAATGTCAAAGCTATTAAGAAAGGTTCTCTGTGTTTCAATGCACCCAATTCAAAGGGTTTTTCGACTCTGCAAAAATGTCAGCAGGGAAAATGTGGGCCCAAAAGGGTTCCTTGGCGTAAGTAAACAACTTATAGCAATAGATTTTTTTTTTTTTAATAAAAACCAAAGAGGCTATTTTTAAACGGGGAAATAGAACCTAAGTAGTCCTGGGTTAACTTGATTATTTGGATTGTGCAATCCAAGTACTAAGGTTTGTTCAGTAATAGGAATGTTGATAATCCACCGGCAAGGGCAGGTTGTACAGCTGCCTATGAATAATATATGCACTATTAATATCTCCAGTAGTTACAGTATAATAGTAATATCTTAATAATTATAAATAATAATGATAATAAATAATCAAATAAGAGCTGATGAGAGTTTGACATATAAGTAAATACACAGTTTGTGCAGCCATTAAGAACTCACCTGCTCAATATCAATAGCAAATCGAAATAAGCAATTTTTGGAAAAAATATGTAGAGTACAAAAAGATACATTTAAATGGTAGCTTAAAAGCATCAAGCTTTTTACAGAGTGACTCTTACTGTCCTCAGGCATATCATTTTTGCCAGAGTGCTGTAGTGATGTAAACAGGGTTGTAAGCACAGAAATGGATACTGAAGAGCTATGAAGGTTTGTTGGCTGGGTTTCTTGCATCTAACAATAAAAGAAGGTTAACCTATGTCTCAGCTTCTGCTAGAATAAACCATCAAGTGCTGAGAGCATCCTTTGGAACTGATAGGATTGCTTGTCCTGCCACATTCTGCCAGAAGAAGCTACTTGTTTTTAGTATGTCATACATGAAACAAACCCCAACAATTGCAAAATCTCACAGTAAAATCCAAGACTGAGCAAGAGAGGTGGAAGGAGCCTACATGCCAGAGTTTCTATGTCAAAGGGAGGAACATCTGCATACAACTCTTCTACCTCATGACAAGAGATTCCTGACCGCTTGGCAATGGATAGTAGTGGTGAGACCCCCATTAGTGCACGCTGACAGCAGAGTATCCAACAGAAAACACAGAAAGCGTGAACATATTCATTGAAAAAGGCACCTGGTAGAGGTAGGAGGAGACCTGGGTCCTATATGAAAGCCCATGCTGCCTGCTGGCCATATGCCTTCATGTAAGGTGAAGTGACAGCACTAGTACAGGATCTCTTCTCTCATGGAGATGAGGGATCTGGTCCCTGCATTTGACACGCCACCTGCTTTTTGCATTAGATTCACTAGATAAAAATGTAGTATTTCTAAACAGATAGCATCAGGGGCAGATAGTCCTTTGCTTCAGCCAGGAGTGGGGGACCTACACACTAAGATCACCTGAAACTGAAAAAAAGTTCAAAGCTGCAGCTTCTCAGGAAAGCTGCAGCTTCTCAGGAATCCTGGTCACCAGAGGATCACTCAGGACAATGGCCTTTTAATACCTCTCCTGTTAAAATTGATCCACTGTAAAAGAGAATCCAAGGTTTTGAGGAGCAGCAAGGTGCGGGGAGGGAGTAGGAATCTGGCTCTAGACCTATTTTTGCCATTTGCATTGAAGTGTTGGTAAGTAAAAAGCACAAAAGACATTGAACCTATGACTCCCTCATCCCCCTTCAGCACATCTAGATTATATCTTCCCTCACTGACTCTCTCAAGCTCCTGAACTTTTCATTCCTTCTTTGAACAGTGGCCCAGCTTTAACAGAAAGATAAGCCTCCTGTGGAGCCAGAAACAGGAGCCAGGCCTTCTCTTCCAGGCCAGTGTAGAATTACAGACAAGGGAGGAAAAATGGAACAAACAAGCGGGATGCAGACAAATTGATTTGAATCGATTCTCACGTTTTAAATCCTGAAGCACGTTCCCTTTCCTGCACTTAGGTGGTATCAGATTCTGGACATTTTTCCACCTTAAGTCACTTGCTGGCATCTCGCATGCAGTTGGAGGATGTGTGTTGCTTTAGGGCTGGAAGCTTTTTACCTGAGTTACTTCATGCTTTGGCTGTTACTGAACCTGGAGCACAGGTTGGTGCCTGCAAAGGCATCCATCCTTTTTTTCCGCTGTGTAACCTGCAAAACCAGATATTCTGCTCTACTGTTATGCAGGCTTATGGTACTGCTGTACATCTACAAAGGACTGTAGCCTCAGGCCTTGCAGGAGGGAGGTCTGTTTTGGTGAAGTCAAGGCTTCTGGGGTATTGACTGTTTCTAGTTCACTTTTAGCAAGTATGCGCTCTTTGGCTGCTCTTCCCTCGCTCCCTTGTTTATCTGGTTCTGCCTCTCATACTTTTCCTCTGTTCTGCTCCTATTCTGGTTCCTTTTAACTACTCCTTCCACTTCTCCCTCCGCCCCCATCCCCTTTCATCTAATCTCACTGTTTGTATATGTACAAACTCATACAATCTAGCTGAGATTTTTGGTTTGCCTGCTGGGGGAGCGTTGTTCTCTCTGCCCCATGGACATTTTCAGTTGTCTGCTGGTCAAAGTCTGAATCCTGTAGATCAACAGTATTACTGCAATGCAATGGGACAGGAACTATCCCCAGCAATCCATAAATTAGAGGAAATACAGGTTAGATGGTAGCCTGTTATCAAGGGCCATGGAGGCTCTAATGATAGAGGTACAGCACATCTGTGACTACATATACCTCCAATAATGTATCTGATCAGGATGTGTGACACTCCTCTTCAGAGGAAAAACTGAGCACACTCAGCGGTGAGACAGCTCAGTGCACACTGGGTTTCTAGACTTGGTACTAGACATAGGCGCTTTCACAACTGTGCTCTAGCCTTGGCTATCCAAGCCTGGCTTCATCCAACCATGATAGGATTTTGCCCTAAATGATTTCATCTGTTTCTGCAGGTATGGCCTACAGTTTTATTTGGAAGCAAACAGTTTATTTATTTGCTTTTAATTATTTATGGTAATGAAATGGGCGGGGGGGAGGGAAGCACCCATATCTCAAAATTTTCCACAAAAATGAATACACTTGTAGTTCAGATCTCTGCTCATGAAAGAAAACACAGTTCTCCACTATTACTTATAATGTTTATTTGCTTTTAACTTCTAAATACAGTTGAATTTCTCAACACAAATACAGTAATGGAGGAAATCAAGGGGAGCTCTTTGTGTAATTTTCCCAAGAAACACATATTTTAAAATACGCTTTTGCAAAACAACTACATTTTAGTACACCTGCACAGTGAGAAATTCCAGTCACAAACAGCAATGCGGTTTGCAACTAATGTTCTCCCCGCTCTCCTTGTTTAACACACAAATGGCATTAAATGAACCCATAACACCTGCAGGGATAACACAGAGTCATTTTTATGGAGGTCTTTGAGCATGCAGTAACTAGTAAGATGGGGAATTAATGAACTTATACCTCCATACTTTTATTGTATAAAACAAACTTGATGGAATAGTGGGGTATTGCTAGTAACACCTGTTAGTCTTGCTACTGATCGATCCGAACCCTGCAGCTTAGGTTTTAAATCACTGTTCTTAACTCCTACTTAATTACATTTATCAGAAAGTCAGGTTTTTTCACCCATAGGCAGGTAAAAATACCTTTTTTAGAAGCAGCAGTAATGTCTGGGTTTGTATTTTATAAATAGCTCTGATGCTACACTTTATCAGTATTCTTGCAAGTTTAGCGTTGTTGTCTGTTTCATTGCCTGTACAATAACTGTTATTCCAGTTTAAGAGTCAGAAAACAATCAATTTGGAGACAGATGAGTGAAACTAAAGTCAGCTTTCCTGAATCTGAATGTTACAGCTGGGCCCTGCTCACTAGAAAGATCAGGAAGAGGGAAATAATTCCACAAACCAACAAAGAAAAGTGTGAAGTTACTGTTCTAACTACAGTGACCAGAAAATGCCAGTATCTACAACTCCTGGTACCTGCACAGACACACACAGAGTCAGGTACAGAAACATGCTCACGGTCAGGCACAGACGATCAGACACACACACGCACACACACACACACACGGGAGTGCCATGGCGGGCAGCCTTCGCTGCCCTGCAGGGAGCACATGGCTTTGCCTATCATCTAGCGACCAGCAGTGCAGCGGCTCCATGGCAATCTCACCAGGGCACATCTTCTCCTATGGCCAGGGGCACTGCAGTGCTGTGGAGCTAAAAAGGTCATCTACAGCTAGGACAGTTCAAGATTTATAAATATATTTGGAAATGTAACTTCTTAATAAAATTTGGATAAGAAAGTGTTAGATATTTTTGCTAGCTAATGCTTTTTCTTCACAAATGAGTTTTCCTTTTCTTCCTTTAGTCCTGCATATGAAAATGAAATGTTTCTGGCTCTGGGTGTGCTGTCCATTGCTGTAATGCGCTTTATAACATTTTGTACCCTATGCTGAAGGAAAATATTGCTTTATCATCTAATTTGCTTGAGCTGCATAGTCATCAGTGCTACAGTAAGAAACTGGTGGATTAGAAATTAGGAAATCACTTCAGCAGTGATCTGACGGGTCTTTCTGAACACAGAGTGGATGCATGTGTGGCCACAGAACTTACAGTCTATCGCATTCAATATCAGGGTTATTAGATGGAGTATCAAGGATACCATAATACACTTCCTTGTTTACTGGAGGTGGGGTGTTGGTTGGACTTCCAACCCCAGAATCAGGGCTTGATGCAGGATGTATTTCTTCTGCATACTTCTCTTCTTTCTGAGTAGGTTCTTGTTTTGGCTTGAGGTTTTTGAAACGTTTGAGCTTCACAGGGTCCTTGACTTCCTTGGCACAATGGAACAAGATGAAAATGTCCCTCCGAAATTTGGAGCTCATTCCAAAGTAGATAATGGGATTATAGAAGCTGGCAGATTTAGCAAATAAACTGGCAAGGATGCTGGTAAGATTGGGCACAGAGTGACCACAGGCAGACCATATGGAGATGACAGCATATGGTGACCATGCAATAATGAAGGCTGTGCAAATGACAACAGAAACCTAAAAGACAGAAGAAAAATAGCTTTAAATATCTTCTGGAAGCCTTATAGAGAAGACTTTACCAGAGAAGTGATATACAGTGAATAGCAGCTTGAACCTTGGCTGGAACAGAAGCATTTAGGTTGTCCTGAAAGTCTGGCTCACAGCAGAGTTACAGACAGGCAATGGTTTGCTTGGATCAAGTCAGGAAGATCAAGAAGCTAATCTTAGGTTAGCACGGTGTTCTGCCTGAGCAATGCCTTATCTAATGGAAAATCACTACATTCCTTTGTATGTTTATGTGAATTCAGAAGCTTTAGGGCAGATTTAAGCCAATGGTAAGTAATTGAAAGTTCCACTGTAACCTATACGTATGCTCCGAAGTAATATAGCTCTGAAAGAAAAGAAAATATGCCAAACCAAGATTTTCTTTTTGTGCTGTACAGTGCACTCCAATAATATTTAGATTATTTTTCACATGTGATGTAGCACTGAATATTAGCCTACCAAAGGGGGAAAAGTTTTTTAAAATCTTTATGTTATTCTGAGCTCAAACTCTGTCACTACAGATTGCAGAGATATGAAACATGACTCATCTGTTTGGCTGTCTTCCGTCCTAGTTGAGACTAATTTTAAGATAAAATCCACCTATGTGAAACCCAAACTCACCCTTGTCACATCTCGCTCCATTCTCCTCTGTCTGTCTGTTGGATCACCCAGGCCTGTTAGCACATGGCTTAATTTGACAGTATTGATAATTGACACATATGAGAAAACCATAACAATTACAGGTAGGAAAAAACAGCAGATAAAAATGGAGACAATGTAGGACTTGTAGATTGTAGAGAAGTTGGCTTTTGCCCAGTCTATCTCACATGTTCCGTACATGCGATCTGGAAAGCAAAAGTAATTTGGTTAGCAATTTTAGAACATTCATCTGCTTTTGTGTGTTCATTTTTATCAGTTTAAATAGTGTGGTTTTCCTCTTTTAGAAAGTAAAGAATAGAGGGATCTTGCTGATTTTTACGAGCTGTGACATAATATTCTACATAAAGAAGTTTTCAAGACACCTAGACAACAAGTATTAATGAGGATTATCATCCTGTTCAGTTTAGATTTCTAGTGTGAGTCACTAATGAACAAACTGTTGTTTTAGAATAGGGAATTGTGATACTTTATAATAAGAATGAATATTCATTTGGTAGGTTTGATATTATTGAGGATTATCTTCTCTTATTTGACATCATCTTCTACATAGTAACTTCCTAAGATGAGCACTATAAAAAAGCAGTTATAAAGAGGCAATATGTCAAAGAACGTAAAAAGTCATCACCTATGTAGCAAAGTAGGAAACAAAAATATTAAGGTTTCTTTTAAAATAGAAGCCAAAAGGCAATGAAAATTTTACTGACTGTAGTAAAAGGGACATGAAAGCAAGTTAGTTCAGCTAACAATAAAGATTACAGGAAGATAAAACATAAATACTTAGATATGAGGCATTCTCTTAAATAGAAAGTGTACAATTCGACAATTACAAAGGAGCTGCAAGATCTTAAAAAAAAAAAAAAAAGTGGATTGCAAGATCCGCAGCTAGTGAGATTTACAAAAGGACCCTAACTGATCAGGCACCTAAGGGAAAGACAGTGGGAGTAACATGCAATCTCTGCTTAAATACTTTTATGAATAACATTTGACCTCTTCAGATGTTTTGATGTGCTTGCTAACATGTCCTGATATCAAAATCTTGAGTTTGATAACTATACAGATTTTCTGTAGATTTTAAATTGTTGTTCCAAGTGGAACAGGCTGTTGTTTTCTGATCAGCAGTGGCAGCAACCTGCATTATAAATAAACGAAGCATGAACCAAAATTACCTAATCAAGTATTAACTGGTCCTGGAAATACAGAACAGGTAAAGCCTGTGTGATTTAACGACAGAACTCTCCCTGACATTCAGTGATAAGTCTGAAGAAAAAAAATCCCTTAATTCCCTATGGGTGATCTGACAAGTGGCGTTTGCAAAACTGAATGGGCTCCTAGGGACCCCTGCAGCTACAGCGCAGAACTGACACTTCACATGCAGCGAGGTGTAATGTCCTGTGGTCTGCTGAGACGTGTCCCACTCCACTGACTGCTGCATGACTTGGCATTGTTGGGCTCCCCATTTGCCATGGTTGCCCTCTTTGGTGTCAGGAAATGTCTTTGGAGTCGGATAGCCCGGGAATTGGAAAGTGCTGCGATTCTCAGTAGGAGAAAGTGCTCACAGATTGGTCTCGAGGACCACTGTCGGGTGCTGAACCCAAAGCACAAGCAGGAGCCATGGGCACTTGGATGCCCTGACAGGGCAGAGGTGCCCAAGAAGTCCCTGGCTCTGAGACTGTGTTTAGGGCCAGCAGTGGATGTCAGAAATCTTTTCAGAAATGAAGGGGTAATGAGGATTCATGTACTATGAAAACAGATTGCCAGAAGATACATCGAGAATGATAAATCCAAACACCCCAAGTTTTGTGACATATCCAGAGTACAAAAAACCCAACATAAAATTAGAACAGTTATCCTGGCTAAAACTGAAGATCCATTGAGCCTAATATCAGGATATCAATATCAGGAGCATCAGTCCTGATAATGGATTGATTTGGGAAGGATATAAGAGAGAACCATTATAGAAAGGGATGCTTTTCTTACATGCACCTTTCAAGGGTACAGCTTATGTATTTAAGTCAGAGGACATATTGATGTTGCTGTATCTAATAGACCTTGTTAGGTTTTGTGACTTCGCAAGGACACTTATTTAAATAACGTATACTTCGGCTGCCAAAATATCCTAAATGCCTAGCAACGGCCCCATGAACAAGCTCTCCAGGGAGGAATTTTTCCACTATCATGGCGCAGACACTTTTCATCACCATAAGTGCTGGAGTTAGTTACAGGCTTTCTCCTGCTCCTAAATATAACCGTAAGCCCCATCCTCTGCTGAGCCTTAGCCCCCAGCAATGGCCCCCATGAACAAGCTCTTAAGGGAAAATTTTTTTTTGCAGCCCTTGCTGTTTTGCAGCCCCATATCAGCCCCACACCAGCTGCAGCTCTAGGCTTGATCTTTCTCCTAAACCTAGGCTTTGGTGTGAACAAGTTCTCAGGGGAGAAAAATATTTGCAGCCCTCACAGTGCTATTGCAGCCTCTCTAGTCCCATGTCCCCTTCAGCTCTAGGCTTTCTTCTTCTCCCAAACCTAACCCTAACACAAACCCTAGGTCTCAGTCTCTGCTGAGCCCTAGCCCCCAGGCCCCCTGCTATGGTCTACATGAACAAACGCTCTTGGAAGAAGACTTTTTGCAGTTTTCACTGTTGTTTTCTAGCTCCTTTTCAACTCCATGCCAGCTGAAGCTCTGGACTGTGTCGTTCTCCTAACCCTAACCTTAACACTAGGCCTTGGTATCTGCTGAGCCTTGGATCCCAGGGCCCCAGCAATGGACCCATGAACAAGCTCTGAGGAGAGAAAACCATCTGCAGTCCTCACTGTTATATTGCAGTTCCTTTTCTGCCCCATGTCAGCTGCACCTCTGGGCTTTTCCCTAACCATAACCTATGGGCTGGGTCTTGGCCTTTGCTGAGCCTCAGCTTCCACATCCCTATCCGTAGTCCCCACGAACACCCTCTCCAGGGAGAAATACTTATGATGCAGATGCTATTATTTGCAGACCATTTTCAGCCCCATGCTATCTGCAGCTCTGGGCTAACTTCTTTTCTAACTCTGACCTTAGGCCTCTGCCGAGCCTTAGCCCTCAGACCCCCCCAGTCTTCATCTGCATGAACAAGCTCTCCTTGGAGAGAGATCTTTTTGCAGCCCACACAATTGCTTGACAGCCCTGTTAGCCCTATGCCAGCTGCTGCTCTAAGGTTTCTGCTTTTCCTAACCCTAATCCTAGGTCTTGGAGTGTGCTGATTATTAGCTCCCCCCTCCCCCTCCCCCATTTTCATTTTCCCCATAACACACTCTCATGGGTAGAAACTTTTATTTTCTGCTGTTTCGCAGCCTCTTTTCAATCCCACGCCACCTGGAAATCTAGGCTTTACGATTTCTGTTTGTTTCATGAGAGTACTTCATGTTTTCTCTGCCTATTTGTCCCACTCTGAACACTATGCTTATATTTTCACAGACTGATACATGACCTGCATCAGCACATGCGTGCAGACACGGCTCCACATTCTCTTTTCTACTTGTTTGTTAATAGCTATTTTAGATGCACCAAAGGTAAGGTTGTTTTTTCCTGTATGACTTTGCATGTCTCGGCTCTGAATTCTGTGTGACTTGCTGCTGCCCAGCAGCTCAGCATTCTGCAGTCCTCCTGCAGGTCCTTGCAGTCCATCTCTGCTCTTACCACGAAATGAAACTTTCATCTCGTCTGATATTTCATGAATACGTTGAACATCACAGGTCAAGTAACTGTTGCCTATAGGATACAGGCAAATAATTGTTGGATAATTTCCGTTGTATGATTTCAGTTATTAGAATTCCTGTATAATTACCATTTGTTCCTAGAGATTTGTTAATGTTTGCTTTATTGATCTGTTCTACAAACTTAATTTGAGACAATTTCTCCAACTTTTTCCCTATGAAGAAACTTTCTGGTGTGGGAATCTCCCTTAGCTATTGAATTACCTCAGTGTTCACAATCCACCTTTTTTTTCCTCTCTTTTTTCTGCTATGGCCTTATTTTGCACCCTAATCATTTCTTGTGTTGACAGACTTTCTGGCGTCTTTTTCTTCTTCCGCTATATTAAGTGTTCATGCTTTCAACAAACTGTTCCACAAAATTTTTGTTGGCATATCTTATTATAGTTTTATGCTTAACTTGCCAGAACTTGTGTTCTTTTCTCTTTTCCTAATTTTGACAGTTTTTGAAGGATTTCTTTGAATAGTTTCCTTTACCTCACGGCTTAACCATGCCAAATATTCCTGGCTCCTTTTTTTCATAGGTAATATACTTTTGGTCCAAGTCTCTGTTATGATATCTTCAAAAGATCTCCTGATAGCTGATAATAAAGCAGACAATGCTCTGTACGTAAGTCATGCATGATGAATGATTTTCCCAGTTCCACTGATAATCAGTCTGGCTTCCAGCAAGAAAGAAACGTAAATATCTTTGTTCAGTTAAGTAGAGAGTTGCCAAATAAGTACAACTGAAAGATATCTGTTACCTGTATAACTGCCCCAGCCAAGTAATGGAGCTGCTGACCAGAAGAAAGCTGCTATCCAAATGAGAATCAGAGCCACCGTCATACTGCTGTTGCTGATACAATGACCTGGAATGGCACGGTTTATTGAGAAAATAATACTTAATAAGTCAGCCATATCTCTGCAGATGAAATCTAAACTCATTCTTTACAGTTATACGAAAAAATGCTAAGGTGAAAAACACATAAAGCTTAAATTTGAAAGCATCTGTCAGACTTACAAGTGTTCTAGATGATTACTGAACAGTGGAATTGAATGGCTAGTTAGAACAAGACAAAAATATGTTTGTTGAACACTGTAGAATTAGCAAGTTCTATGTTGGATTCATGTTTTGCAATTTTGTAAAAAGCAGGAAATAATTATAGGTTAAGTTTTACACTAAAACAAACAAGATAAGCCTAAATTCACAGCATTTTCTTGATCACTTCAAAGTTTTCACTGTTAAAAAGGACAAAAAAATTAGATGCTCAAACTACATTATTTCTTCAGTACAAGTGATTTAATCTGTCTTCCTGTTGCCATATATTGGGATTATTTTTTATCTAAACTGGAAATCTTCATACAGCCACCAAACTCTGTTCCTCAACACTTCTGTGAAGTTATACTGAACACTTACTTAGATTTGCTTAAGAGGTAGATTTAAATTATGCACATCCTCAGATGAACATATGATACAGCTTGCAAAAGAAAAAGTCATGTTTTACATGTGGCTTCATAAGATGCAAAGAATATGAGATATAGAATACATTACAGCCAAATTCTAACACCTCCAATAGCAGGTTATGTAGATAATGAGCTTCAACAAATACATCATTACGACAAACTGCAGAAGAACTTCCTGTGGAAAAACACGTTCCTGCAAAAGTTATTTTCACAGCTAATGAGAAAGAAAAATGCATATGATGCATCCAATGTATTTATGCATGTTTTATATTTAGATTTTGATAGTTTCCTACTTGAAAGATGGTGCAAGCTAATCATAACAAAGACAAGAAAACTGATAATATATGATCTACGGATGGGTGTAGGAATCACTGCTGCCTGGAAGACTAGGGAGAATTCATAGAAAATGTAAGTGGAAAGGAAAGAGATAAAGTAAGACTCTCAGTGGAAAAAGTTTTCAGCAAAACAGAAGGTCCAAGATGAATGGTAAGGAAAGGTTACCACTGATTTAATGAAAGGGAGTGTCTGGGATGAGTGTGGTGATATAAAGATGTACAAAGGCAAAAAAGGTAGGTGGCATGTTTATATTGGCTTGCTTATGAGAGCTACACAGTTAGCAGAGCAAGGAGCAGGAAACATGCAGAAGTTTTCAGACTAAACTTGAACAGTGAGACCCTGATAGGCCTTTCGAGAGGCATTTATACAAAAAGTTAAAAAAAAAACCCAAATTCAAAAAACTAGAGCGGGAACATTTAGTAGAAGGTTTTTAACACTGGAGATGGTAAGGAACAGCGACTGTCTGAGATGCTCAGGTTGCTGATCAACAGGGCATTACAGAAGGAAGAAGTGTGGAGGAGAGGCTGTGATGAGGACGTCTCACGGACCTGGGAGGCAGGCAGGACACAGCGGCCATCTGGACAGAGTAAGGTTGTGGGGGTAATTCTCGCCTCTCTCTCCACGAATCTGTCTGCAGAGGAGAGACTGGAGAGGCTTGCTGGGATGTCAGACTGCACCATGCCTCAAAGCTTGGGGGGCAGCTACGGAGGCTGAATGCCCCCAGTGCCATCTGAAGCACTCCACAAAGCCTGCTCTGAGCAAACCCCAGCAAAACACCACTAAGAGTGAAAGTATTTGCATGGAAAGCAGCCTTCCAAACCAGGTTTGTTATGAATGACTGGAAACTGTCCTCAATGTCATTTCATAGGTTAGACACGCTGCTTTCAGTGTGGTCCCACCAAAGATGTATGCATCACTTAGGAGTCATTTAAGTTGTATTTTGAGGAATACAGAGGAGCAGTAGGACCTGTGATATCTTTGGCACAGGGGCAAACTTTAGCCAGTGTGACCAAAGTGTGCTATTAATAATTTAGCTCTTATTTGGGTTAACTCCCAAGAGGTCTGTGCAAACATGTTTCAAACAGACATGAATGGGTTAGGTTATGGTTTCCAATGCATCTAATTTATATTTGATAAATCCACTGATTGAATGGAGTACAGATTTACACTGTGGTAAATGAAGGCAGAATTGGACCTGCTTTTATTGCTTACCTCTCTCAGGATGGCAGCCTTTTATGTAGCGAGTAACACTGATTACTGTAAGGGTATTAATGCTAGCCAGGCCAAAGAGAAGCGTCAGGAATCCATCAACCTAAAAAAAAAAAAGAGTAGTAGTGCAGGAGGTTCTCTTACTGCAGGGTGCCAAAGGGGAACTGTTTGCTCCTGTCATTTTCATATTCATGCTCTTAAAAATTGTTCCAGAAACCAAACTAGCAGGGAAATAGAAAATGTCAGGATCAGTTATCTTCTATAGGATCAGTGAGCAAGGAAATGTTCAAAAATTAGACAAGCGCTCTGTCACATACATAAAATAAGCAAACACACCCTCAATTCTACGTTTTCCAAAAAATGGTTTGCCAAATGAAGGAGAAAAAGGATGAAATGAAAACAAGTAAAACCTTGAAAAGGCAAAAAGGGACTGGATGCAGTCAGCCGTTTTAGGTAGAGCAAATATGCAAAGTGAACCCATAACTTTTAGCCCAAAGTAGAAAGAAGGCAGGAGGTAATAGGCTTGGCCGGTGGGAGAAGTAAAAAAAAAAAAAAAAAGCCCCCCTCTCCCCCCAAACAAAGTTAAACTAAAAGTTAAACAATGGGCGGGGGGAAAAAGAAAAAAAAAAAAAAAAAAAGCCCCCCTCCCCCCCCAAACATAGTTAAACTAAAAGTTAAACCATCCAAAGCTAAACCAGCCAAACAGACTGACTCCGAAGTGATGCTGGTGTTATTGATTGCATGCTGTTTGTTAAGCCCTCATTCTCATCTCTGACTCATACAGGCAGAGCCTTATGGCTGTGTGGACTCCTTTTGACGTCAGCATCTCAGCAATCTACGCACCGAACAGTTACAATTCTGCTAGCTTCGTTTCTGGGTATAGGAATGAATTTGCTGCTGAATGCAATGAAGATGGATGTAGCCATCTGCTAGGGAACACTACATGGCTGGGAAGCGATCCAGGCAAAACTTTGAAGGCAGTCTTATTTTTGAAAGCTTGGAGTCATACATCAAACCAGCAAGAGCTGGGGATCACTTGGAGGTACCAGTTTTACATTGAGTGAGGTAGAAACATGGAGCAAGTGTCACTGGATTGTGACTTGGCATTCAAGTAGTAAAATTATCAGAGGGAAGCCACGTCATTATTCTAAGGGAACAAACTGAGTCTTTGTGTGAATGGGCACAGCTCTCATGGAATTCAGTTTATTCCAGAGCTGAATCTCGGGCTTTAATCCAGGCTTAAAGCTGAGTCCATGGTGGACTGTATAAATTAAATTGGGTGAAGGGTTAGGAAAGGGGGACTTTATCATTTCTTCCATTGGTGTTTTTTCTTGCCACGCTTACATTGCCTCTATATACTTTTTAATGCTGACTTTTACAGACCTACGACATTTTAAATGCATGCAAGATGTGCTACTACAACAATCTAAATCCAATCTAAATCTATAACTATGCTCCATTTATGATCAATTGATACTTGGTGTATAGCTGTTACTATGCTTTTATCAGAAAAGAGGATTCCTTGGATATCTCAGCTGCTTACTACAAGCTGCACTTGATTGAATTTGGCCAATTGTCAGCTTTTGGGATTAGTGAAATACCTGGAAACACAAATGCACTCTGCATTTCATTAGCCTTATGAATGCAAACAGCTGCCACTTCCCTGTGTGCTCTAACTGTACTTTACAAATTCAGGAAACAGCATGGTCAAGAATTACCGAGTAACCGCATAGCATAAGATTAAACAATTGCATTAGTTGCTAGGTGAGAAAGGAAATAGTGTTTCAACAGTGATGTAAAGAAACACGCTGAAATTAAGCCTGAAGAGGTGTGAGATTTAATACTAAAGTACTAGGACAAGCTTCTTAGTGTATATCGATTAGCCTCTCTATGCTGAAACTTGTTGTTTTTTTTTTAACTGAAATGCTTACTGTATGTTTGGTCACCTGCAGCTGTGAGCGTTATTGTTCCATTTCCACTTTCCTGCTGTTAGAACAAAGGGAGACAATTATATTAAATTATCGATTCAAATAGTCCTTGAGCACATTTACAAAGGGAGGAAACTAGGGCTAAAAATATGCTCTTGCCCTTTATTGTTTAAGATGAAACCATGTCACCATAACAAAGAACAAACCAAAATGTTTCCTTAGATTGGTGGTCTGCTAAAAAATGTAGTTTTACCTAAATCAACATATTTCATAGGACTGAACCATTGTCAGTGCCGCATGCCAGTTTCATAATATTTCACAACAGAACATTTCAGCCTGAGCATGTCAAAACACTATCGCTTCTGCTTGTGTGGGGGCTATTTGTCCGGGATTTAACCAGAGCCATACAATTAAAATGAGGCTAAACTGGCAAGAGTCTCCCAGATGGCAGTTGTGCTAAGTCCCCTCATGCTAACCACAGACCGTGTGATTTAGGAACAGGTGACAGAGTGAAACAGCGAGGAGGAGGAGAAAACAGTCGGGATGATAAAAGCGTGGCGATGAAATGAAAAAAGGAGACATAGGGGTCAAGCTGCAGAGCAGTCCCCTGTGGGAAGCTGCGTAATTTGGAATATCAAAGCATCCAACAGGGGGAAGCGCTGCATGGAGAGCTGGACCCTCAAACAGGTATTTTCCCCGCCAAATTTTCTGCAAATCTACCAACGAAGAGTTAGCTCTTGAGCTAACGCTTACACGTATGCCACTTCCCAGAAAGTCAGTCGGTTTCTCAAATACTTTTGTACCGGTGTTCCTTCAGCAGAAAAAGAAGGCTCTCACTCTGGCTGTAGCCAGCTTACTCTAAGCATATACAAATAGGTATGGAAGAAAGATCTCTTGCTATTGTCTCTGTTCCTAAAAAGACAACACTGATTGTAGCTAGCAACTAAGGCAGCTCCTTAGTATCCAAAGCAATTAGCAACAGAAAAATTAGTTTAGCACAGTGCCAGTTTCTGTAGCCAGAGATGCTAATATATGTTAATAACAACAAACTAAGATATTCTCAGTTTTTGCAAGTTTAAAAATATATGGAATGTCAGCCAAGGAAATACTGGAATTCTAGACAACATTTCATCACTTTGAAAGAGTGATGCTTTTTCTCTTCCCCAGTTCTGTTTTTCATTTATTTTACCACCAGCCAGCTCCTTCCTTCCACAGTTGTAACCTATCTGAGGATCCTACTCTCACTGCAGCTCTTCCCCCTGTTGCATGTCCCTCCATCTTTATGTAACGCAATGTTGTCCTTCCTATTATTAAATATGATCAAATAACAGCAGTGCTTATAGGTAATAATGAATTCTGATAAAAATAGGAAGTTGATCTTTCAGTAATTTTGATCCACTAGCCTTTCCTTATTGAGAAATAGTAGTAAATCAGCAATTTTTGAAAGCTTTTTTCTCAGTGCTATATCAACATTGCTCCCTTGGCTGTACAGATATTCACAGAACTCGCTCATTATCTTTATTGCTGTTTGAAGCTAAGACACAAATTGAAGAAAAGACTGGGTTTATTCTTTGTACTTCTTGTGCCTTGTTTTAAGTCTCAGTAATGCTCTTGAGATTTTATTTACAACCTTTGTACTTCTTGTGCCTTGTTTCAAGTCTCAGTAATGCTCTTGATATTTTATTTACAACCTACTGCATGCAGATTAGTTTTTTAAGGTTCGCTTCAACACACTGAAAGTCAGGAATCCCCCTTGCACCAATAAACTTTTTTAGCTATGGGCTTGGGTGTGCCCTGGTTTTATTACTTTTCTATGTATCCCATCTGACTTCATAAGGATTGTCTTCATCTAAAGCAGATGGAGCCTATTGTTCCTATCCTTGGATTAACTGAAATTTAATGGCACAAAAGCAGATTACAGTAGTAGCTATTGCTTTTCAATTTAGACTGAAACACTAACCTCACCAGCCAGAAAGGCTGCATCATTCCCTTCTCTGGCTATACAAGACAAAACAGACACTGGTGACAATCTGCTGCAATTTCCTGAAGTACATTTACTTCCCTTCAGAACCACAGTGTCTTATCTTTCTCCTCTATTAACTATAAGATAATGAGTAAGTAATGGAAAAGATAAACTTTAACCAGGATTATTTTTCCATTGCATGCGTTGAAACATCACAATAAGCTCACTCAAAATAGTTTTATGAATACAAATCAAATTATTCCAAGAACATAATATAAAGAGATAATGGTAATAAACCTCCTTCAAACCCAAAATACAAAAAAATACCTAATCAATCTTTACAGAATCCACTTGGGAAAAAAATAGGTAGGAACTTTAGACAATGACATGTTTTAAAGTTTAACAAGTTCTAGAAGTTTGCAGTAAGTAAATGAGAAAATATTCAAATCAAATCTAATGACAAGACTGTTCTCCCATTTCTCTGGCACATCAGTAGAGTGTCAGCGAGACGATTTTACTGTATCTAAACTCTTCTGTCACATGGAAGAACTGTCAAGGGACATGATCAAAATAAATCTTCACAGCAGACTACTCAAAACTTGGAATGTATAGTATTCCTATAGCATTCAAATTACTTTCTTAAAATTTACTATAATATAGAAAGTAAAAGAGTTATAATCCATTACAGTTTCCACAGTGCCTTTGATTCATGCCAGATAGCTGTGCGGAGCGGTTGCATTCTACCCTTTTAAAATATCTGATCAGTCTTTAAGGGTAGCCGTTTAGAGATCATTATATTAATCCAATCCATTATGGGTCTCTGAACCAAGCAGCACTTAATTTATTGAAAAACAATGAGAAATGATAAGATATGTGATTAGAGAGTTTAAGCCATTAAGTGAGAACATCAGACACTCAGTGTTTTGCCTTCACCAAGTGATTGGACCTTTCTACTGATGGTACACATAGACAAATATTTTAAATACAGGAAAAATATTAATGCAATATTTAGGCTATACAGTTAAGTGTTCAGGTATATAGTCACACTGCACAATCAAATGTACAGTTAGTGCCAGCTATTCACATAAGTGGCAGCTAATGTATATCAGGTTTTGACCTTAGCAATGTTAGTGAACCCAGAATAAGTCCACTTGCTTGCATGAAGTTATCTTAGGTTGGTATACTGGCTTAATCAAACCAGATTCAAAGTGA